GGGTGCGTGCACGTGGGGGTGGGTGCACGTGGGATGGGTGCGTGCACGTGGGATGGGTACGTGCACGTGGGGGTGGGTGCACGTGGATGGGTGCGTGCACGTGAGGGTGGGTGCATGCACGTGGGGTGGGTGCGTGCACGTGGGGTGCGTGCACGTGGGGTTGGGTAGGCACTGGTTCGTGAGGGTCCCTGTGGGGCTGCTTGGGTTCCACGCCGAGTGTTTGGATGAGACGAGACACAGCTCTGCCTCCCAAGAAGCCTGGCCTGAGCCCCTGAGCGCCCGCCCTCTCACCCCCAGGCCTGGCCACCATGGGCTGTGGGCACAGCTTCCTCATGCCCCCCTCCTCCTCCCCCTCCCCCTACGCCAGTCCTTCCAGGTGAGCTCCCAGCGGGAGGCCAAGTCTTCCTACCACGGGAGCTGGTCCTGGGACCCACTTTCCAGGGGAGGAACCCCCAACCACCTTCACTTCTCATGTCTGTCCCGCAAATTAGCTCCATGAGGAAAAGCGCTGACAGCTGGAGGCTCCCCCGGCCACAGGAGGCACAGCTGTGGGTGACGTGGTCCCGTGTCCTCGGTCACAGGTGGGAAGGAGCCCTGCGGGTGGGGGAGGGGACTCAGGGCCACCCAGGGAGTTCCAGAGTGAGGCCCAGATGCCGGCCAACTCCTGCCGGTCACCGTGCCACCCGGTCCCATGCCACCAGGTTACTGTGCCACCCGGTCACCAGGCCACTGGGCCCTGGAGGAGGCCCCTCTGGGCATTGGGTGAAGGAGCTGGGCCTGGGGACCTGGAGAGAGCAGGTGTGGGGGCTGCCACGCCCCCTCTCCAGGGCTCTGCCAGGGGGAACTCTGTTCTCTGAGCCCCCCGAGGGCTGGGCTCCAGGGGAGCCAAGGTGGGCGGGTTTCAGGGGCCAGATCCCCGGCCCCGGCCCCAGGCGGGCACTTCCTGGTGGTGCCTCGCAGGCAGGGTGGGCCAGATGCTGAGACAGAGCTGGGAATAGAGACGGCTGTGGGGGTCTTGTTCTCCTGCCTGTGCCTGTGCCTGTGCCTGTGCCTGCCCAGCGCTCTCTCGCTCAGCGATGAGAGGAAGCCACGCGGTGGTCCGGCCCCGAGGGAGCCCACGGGGATGGAGGGAGCCCTCGCCGGGAGCTGAGGGCTGTGTCTGGCTGGTCCTGCCCCGCGTGAATGTCATCATTGCCACTAAAGTGTTCCCTTAAAACGGTTAAAATTTTACTAGATCTGCAATTTGTAACCACAATCGAAAGAAATAATGATATATGATACCCCAAACCACTGAATGGCACACTTTCAAGGGGCGGATTGTAAGGTATGTGAATTATATCTTAATAAGGCTGTGGGTTGCTGTGTGTTTTTTAATGGCAAGACTCATTGTATTGCTTTAAAAAATTTTTTTAAAAATTGATTTCAGAGAGGAAGAAAGAGGGAGAGATGGAAACATCAATGATGAGAGAGAATCATGGATTGGCTGCCTCCTGCACACCCCACACTGGGGACCAAGCCCACAACCGGGGCCTGTGCCCTGACCGGGAATCGAACCGTGACCTCCTGGTTCATAGGTTGACGCTCAACCACTGAGCCACACTGGCTGGGCTCATTGTGATGGTTTAAGAATGCAACGTGCGGAGCATAATGTCACAGTGAGACCAGAACAGCCCGTGTTGTCACTGCATGGCGACCGCGAGGCTGGCGTTTTCTGAGCGAGTGCAGAGGGAGGCTAAGGACGAGGTGGGAGACCAGGTCCTCTAAGCCCCAACCCCCTCCCTGTGACCCGTGACCCTGGGCGAGTTGGCCCCCCAACCCCCTGCCAGCCACGGGGGGCGGGTGAGCCATGGCCGTGCCGCGGAGCCGAAGCGAAACATGGAATGGAGACGGAGAAAGGAAGTCCGCGGAGACATGTTCCATTTTGCCCACCTCGGCCGCGTGCTGGCCAGAAAGATGGGCGTTTCGTGTCCCTCCCTCTGGCCTCCCTTTCCCGCCTCTGCATGGTCAGTGCTCTAGGGTTTGTGATGTTTGTATTCACCCCCACCCCGGTCGTTGGTCCTGGGGGTCCGCCAGCAGGCTCCCCGGGGTTCTTGGCTTCTGATGGCCCCTTTGGGCTGCCTGAAGTCCAGGCACGAGGTGCCCACAGCCAGGGCCAGGCCACAGCTCTCTGCCGACTGGTCAGATTCTTGCTTTCCTTCCTAGCAGCCGGCTTTCCCATCTGGGGAGCCATGGAGCGCCTCAGAGTGGCAGCTCCGTGGGGAGGTGAGTGCGGAGCCCAGGCCCAGGGGTTCGGCCTGTCGGGCAGCAGCCCTGTCCCTTCAGGCCAGCCCTGAGCCCCTGAGCTGTGCTGGGACGTGGCCCAGTGAGTACAGAGCCATCGGGCACCGCTCTGCTCGTCAGCTGGTACATCGGGTCCCAGCTCCCCCGACCCCCCCTCCTGCTGTCCTCCTGGAGGGAGCCGGCCGCTGACTCAGGGAGCCGCCATGGATGGGCTTCCTGCTGCTTTAAGAAGCCTCCTTCCTCGCCAGCCTCATTATAATGTGACAGAGCAGTTGCCAAGGTAACGGCACTAACCCTCCTCTCTCCTCTCTGCAAATTTCCTAGCAAATGAGGCCGGACCCACGCGAGGTGTCCTGCGGCCTGTGCTTGGAGCGGCGGCTGCCCGGCCTCCCCTCCTCCGGG